AGAGAGAACCACCACAACAAATGCAAATTTACTTCAGTTGCGAATCCACAAACATTACCCCATTGATTACCGTTACCCCCACAGCACACCCTCTCTCTCACACATTCCAGTGGACTGTGGCATTAGCTAATGCGCTGCTGTTTTTCTTGCCTTTTCACCTTAAATCTTGTTTTTTTTTTATAATTCTTTCTCGAAAAAATCTTCGTGGAATCCCATATTTGTATATCGAGTATAGATATATGGACTAATTTATTGTCACGCTGTTTGATTCTCGTTATTTCAAAACTCATTTTTAATCATATTTTCATACTAAAAATATTTCTTCTCGCTAATAGCCATCAAAGAGGAGCTTAGTAAAACAAGAACTATGTTTGAGTGTGTTAGCAATGGGCCAGACAATGTCATTGGAATATATAGCTTCTCTCTCGCCTTCTTTTTCAAAAATTCATTTTTAACTACACATTCTCTCATAAAATTATTTTACACGTAAACTCACAAATTTTTCTTATTTTTTAATCACACATTCTCCAGAAAAGCACTATTTCAACATACATTTTTTTTTTCCAAAAAACATGGCTCAAACAGGGGATAGTATAACTTAATGTTAATGTATCATGTCACACATCTAAAGGATAAGCCATGAATATGATGAGTTTAATGTCCCTGCATGCTTCTATCAAGTACTAAGTATTATAGTAAAAGAATTATGAGGTGTTATAAGGCGTGTTGTGAACATTTAAGGTAGAAAAAATAATTAACACGATAAAAGAAAAAACATATGATAAAATTGGTTAACTATTCAATCCAATCATCAATCTATTGTTATTTCAAACAAAATTATAATTTTTTTTTGTCTTAGCATGATTCAATGATGTTTAATATATCCGGAAGTTTAAATGTGAAATACTTGACATGAAATTTTTGCCTGTTAACAGGGCAGCTAGAAGAAGAAGAAGAAGAAGAAGAATTATTTTTTCTAAAATTCATTGCCGCCTTTATTTTCAAGTGCACAAGGGACATTGCCTTGTCATTCTCACAAAATTGTTCTTGCAGTTTATCGAAGTTCATTATGTAACACCTTTAAAATAAGACGTCGTCGTAGACGAAGAACCAGCTAATATTTTACTTAAATATATACATCAAACTTCAATTATTCGAGGAATAAAGCATCTCTATTAGAATAAAAATATATATACACATTCAAATTAATTAATTTATTTATTAATTTCTCTCTCTTGCTTATTAATTAAATTTGGCAATCCTAACATCATTAATTTTTAAAGGATTATGGTAGTTGTTAGGCTTTTGTCATATGGCTTTGGACTATATGAGGACCAAGATTATTTAATATTATTAATTAATAATATTTTAGGGTCCTAAGCCAAGTTTGGAACTGGATTTTCCAATTGTATATAACTGATTTATAAGGTTTTGGTCAACCAATGTATAAATTACCATGAGGATGTGAGATGTCCCAAGATTTTGTTTGTCCTTTTATAGTTTTATTTTTGAGTTTTATCATTAAAAATATAATATTTNTATTTTTGAGTTTTATCATTAAAAATATAATATTTAAGATATAAAATGAATAAATGCTACGTTCACCCCCCCCAGTTTACGTAGTTCCTGTCCGGGACTGATTATCAGCAAATTTTAATGAAAATTGTTATCGTTATAATTTGAAGAGCAGTTGCAATAATTTACCATATTTTGCAGAATTACCAATGTACCCTTTTGACATTTTCACTTTGTTTGAAAGAATGACAAATATGGTAACATACCAAATATTTAGTCAGAAATTATGGCTGGAGGAAGCCCGCCATACATTTTGAACTGTCCAAATTTAGATTAAATTCTTGTGAAAATCTCCTCTAGACAGGGGCATAATTTCTTATATATTGACAAGGCTGATTGGCGCACACCCCCGATCATTGGCCTATTGTGGAATATCCTTCTATCCTTTCATGTTAGGAGACAACCCCTTATATGACTTTTGAGGTGCGAAAGGCTTCCTTCCCATCCACCCACATTACTGTTGCCATTAATTCCACTTAAAGGGGGCTAAAATGAATAATTTTAAAAGGGCAAAATCGTCTTTCCATTCCTCGCCACTAGTGTGGTCACCTCCAGCTTTTCGGTGTAAACCCACGATCGACGTCGACTATGCACGGCATCACCCACGATTTGGGCAATTTTTTTTGCTAAAGGTCTCTCAGCAAGCTATTATACAGACCGTTTTGCAATAGTAAGTGAAATCTTCTGCATTTGTAATTTGGTTTTTGCATAGAAAATTCAAATTTTGAAATAGATTTCTCAAATTAGTTGATTTTTATTATGTAAATAGTTTCCTTTGGCTTTTATTTAGGATGTTTGTTCCTATAATCAGACTATCAGAGGTTTTGAAAATGAGGCTTCTGAATATGGTTAGTGTCCTTGTTTTGCATTTCAAAATCAGGTTTTTGGTTCAATTTTTTACTTCTTGTTTGAGTTTTGGTTTGTTACATGTATACATAATGATTGCCATGGATTTTGATCTATTCCCAATAAGTATTCTAAAAAGCGTAAAACGAGCTAGGTGTGGAGGCCAACTTCAATCTCTACGAGCGTAGGCAAGGCCTAAGCTTAAAAAAAGGTTATATTTTTATTATTATTTTAAATACTTAATCATTTTAAAAATCATTTAATAATTAAAATGGTACATACCAAATATCTAAAATTATAAAACACTATATTTACTTACTAATTTCTACAGTTACTCATAGTTTAAATTTTCGAAATGCAAAAACTAGATTATTTTTCATAGTTTCAACTTTCAACTAGAAAGTCTTACGAAACAGATTTATAGGAATTTCATATGTACTTTCAAATTTTCAACAATACACAAGTCTGAAAATCATAATTACATAATATGGATAACACCGTAGCTTAAATCTTAACTAAGACCTTGTATGATTCCCTTTTTTTTGAAAATACATTTTTGTCTCTCTTCTTTTCAATCTCACATTCTTTAATAAAATAATATTATACACAATACAAAAATTTTTCTTTCATTTTTAACCACACATTCACTATTCATCTATACCAAAATGCATTTTACACAAAAAAAAATAGGGCTCAAACATGTCCTATATCTTTATTGGATAAAGTCATTTTTGACTTTTGTACGAATAAAGTAATTTAAAAACTTTAAACTAAAGTCAAATAAAACTCTTTTAGAAAAGGAAAAAATAAAAAATAGAAGTTAATAAACTAAAGTCAAATAAAATGTTTTTTTTAAAGAGAAAAAAATAAAAATAATTAATAAAATTAATAAAGCAACTTAGCAGTTGATCGCGTAATTGGCGCTTACTACCAAGATAAAGTGTTTTTCCCGTGTCTCATGCTTAGGCGACGCTAGTTTGCGCTTTTTAAAACAATGTTTTCAGTAATAATTAAATTTTCGTGTTCATTCACCCGAATATATTGACTACTTCACAATGGCAATTTATGGCCTTTTTTTTCAATAAGCCGAACAATGTGAAAAACGAACACAGTACGCTGATGTTCTTGAACTATGTGAAGTCTCCTTATTTCAATAGGGATTGGTTTGAAGCATTTGCATATATGTGTGGAGATTGTGGACCTCTGGACTTCTTCTACTTTAGGAGGCAAAAATGTAGTTTGAGTAGTACTTTGACTGGATTATGGAGTGAATCAGATATGAGGAAGATGTTGAAAGACATTGAAGGATTAGTGTCCATAATGAAGGGGTGAATATAGTACTGAAGGATGCTACATTCCAGTGTTTGATGAAAGCGAAGGTGGTGTGACGGTGCATGATATTGGTGAATTTGCAACTGAAAATGTAAAGAAGGCGTGGTCGCATTTTGAGGAAACTCTTACATATAATGTTGGCACACAACCTGAACAGGTTGAACAAACAATTGAATTGGTTGAACATAGTGATGATGACATAATGGATAAACCAGTAGAATGTTTTCTCGAGTTGGACTATGAAGTGGAGGATGAACATCCAGGTAATGGCTAACCTCCAGTTGAAACAGTGAATCTTGATTTCGGTTTTGGGTTTGGTTTATATGACAGACAGGTAGCACCGTAGCAGCTAACCTCCAGCTGAGACAGTGAATCTTGACCTTTTGATTACAATGTGTAACCCCCTGACTTTTATCCTCTGTTTGGTAACACCTCCTGACATTTTGGGGATGATGTGTAATGGCCCCCTCACAATATTTGATATTTGATTATACTTATAGAAGGAAGTTAGAATGAAACAGCTTTTGTTTAAAGTATCCATAGTTGATGATCGCAGGAGAAGCACATAGGAATCCATTCATGATTTTGTGGTATTTGTCATTTTGAACTNTGTTTCATATGTGAAAAAAAAAAAAAAAAAAGCATATTCTATCCATAAGTAAAGATTTATAATAATCTCGATCAAGTCTAGACAGTATTGACATAAAGGCATCATCTTCCACAGAATATCCCGAGCAAAAGATTGTTTTCTAGCCTTCAATGGTGAAAGAAATTTAAATGATAATCCAATCATCTAGTTTAACACTGCACAAAGTTTCTCCAATATTAAAGAGCTCCATAAAAGCCATATTACATTTGGTATTCAAGAATCTCTCCATTTCAAACTGCAACCAGTTTGAAGTGTCTTTTTCTGTACCCTTTCTATGCAAGAATTTTGCACTTGCATATCCATATTTGGCTTCTACATTATGCTTGCACAAAATTGTTCTCAGCATTTTCCTTCCTGTATGCTTGTAACCTCTCTTTCAACTTTTTGCTCTGTTCAAAATTTGCCTTTCGCTTCACAGCTTTCTGCACGAGGAATTTTTTTTCATCATGGTGGGACGATTTTTTTCATAATATTTATCAGAGAATTAAATTAAAATTGGAGTACATAGATATCTTCACTGAGAAACTTACTTCCCGGCGGAAACACTTATCAAGCTTTATTTTCAGATCAGTGCAGTTACCAAAAAATTTACCAATAGGATGCTCCGTATGGCACTTTTGGAACAGTTCAATAATCTGCACCAAGCAGTTACATATAAATTACAAAGCTTGCAGGCTTACCACTGTGCTAAACAAACGGAAAATTCGATAGAATTCTAGTCATACTACACTGGGGGAAGCACAATCCAACCAGCTTTTATCATCAACTATGAACAGTATGTTATGTTTGGTAGGAGGATTGGATAAGACAACATTGCGAAAGAAAAAGAATTTACGATCATGCAATTATGCTGTTCAATCCTATTTGGTACTTTGTACCAACACACACGTATGTCAAATGCTTCTGCCAATGACCACAAGGTTGTGGATATGTATACACAAAGCAAAAGCTCGTACATATAATGCCAAAGGGCTAGACGGTGGAGGCGTAGTTTCTTCCTCAAAAAGCTTTCGAACCAACATATCAAACTGCGTAATTAGACTTTAATAAGGTTTTCTCAGTTAAAAGATTCTACAACCAGCGCCCACAAAATGCAGCTCCACAAACAGATTCCGTATATTTTATTTTTGATAACCATGGATGTTCAAACCAACTTGCGCGCACTTTGACTAATCTCACGGGGTCCTGAAGTTTACGACCGGGTACTCACCTCAGTGGCCCTGAGAGAACTCGAACTGGTGACCACTGGGGAGCAAACCCAAGAAAATAGACATTGTTTGACGCCATGAATGAATAATGTATTGTACTTGCATCATAAATAACGCAACAGCAACATAAATGGACATTGTTTGACGCCATGAATATAAAAACACGCTTCGTAAAATCTCAAGAAAATATAGGTTGTTCTATTGACAATGAAAATTGAAGAAAATCTAACATGCTCACACATTCTATATCAACTTAAATTCATATGATATTAGGCCAAATTTGCAGAATGTAGCCAATAATTCATAGGGAAGATGTAATCAATTATAAGCAACTCACGTGCATAATATAAACTCACTCAAGGTAAATACAAGAGCAGCACCAAGATGGAGGAACTTACTTCCGTACACATTGGATGCCTATGGATTGTTAGAGGAGGATGCATCTTCTTATTTCCTACGTATTCAAACCTTAAAAGTATACTGCAGAAAATAAAAATAAAAATATCAGTATATCTTCGTTTTCTGTTTTCTATCCCTTAAATTCACTTTCCAACAATGAAATAACTAGAATTTTTAAATTTCAAATAACACTCAGATTTTGGACCAACATATCTCCTTTATTTACCTTCAAAATTTTCAATTTGGAAGGAGGGGGGGGGGGGCGGGGGGACTATATGACATTAAAATCCCTGACAGGGGCGGAGAAAAACATAAAAAACCACATCAAAAATTCAAGAGAAATGTTGTCGAAAAAATTACTGTTAGAGGAAGATTACAATCAAGAAACAACAACTTTGGAAAAATATATAAACTATAAGGAGTTGAGTTGAAATTAAATCATTCACACAATCAGATCGGGAGTGATTTCAACGTATAAAGCCCATTTTTACACTAATAAAAATCAGATACTACCTTCCAACTTTATTGATTAAGAAATTGATTAGAAATCACTGTTATACAAGTTAAATTGGTGCCAAGGGTGATGAATATGTCCCCAATTTTTAGCATAATACTGATGAAGAACTTAGCAGCTTATCCCCTTTGCTCTATGAATAAGACTTATACCAAATTAATTTAATGGGTTAAAATTTTGATAGTCCGTCGGGTGTTCAGGGATGAGAAGGATATAGCAAAGGATATAGCAGATAAGTATAAATGGGAAAATGAACACAAAGATGTATATGGTATGATAGAGCAATAATGTTTCTTATTTAGACAAAATGTGAATTGTGAGTTAAATTAAAATTTCCATCTCATGCGCAATAGAAGAAGCATAATTCGGTAACCCTAGTAATCCTAGGTAGATTTCAGCAATTATTAATTCATTTCTTCTTGCAACATAGCCAGCTAAACATTTCTATAGTACTATTTTATATATATTTCAACAACTAAATAAAAACACTGAAGAATAAAAATGTGGTCCGTGCTTTGGAAGATATCAGTCACATAAAATAAGTCCTTTTATACCGATCACTTTACATCACTTTGCAACTATTATTTGCATCATAGAAGCAGCAGCAATCAGATAACAAAAAAGGAGCCTAGGACGCCTTTAACAAATGCAACAAACTAATTTCATTAAACAAGCGAGGTCTCATGCTATAAAAAATATAAGGCTAGACTGGACTCTTCAGGAGAAAAACAAATGCATAGCCAGAATTGAAGTTGCCAAGATTATTTAGCCCTGTCACATGAAATTTTTTAGTTCACAATTGCCTTTTTTGTCAATTACACGTGTCCAGCAATATTCAATATTACTTCACAACCTTAATTTAGCAGGTTAGAATTTTCCATGATGTAAAGTAACATAAAAGTAGGGAAGGTAAGCAGGGAGAATCACCCATTTGAAAATTGCCAAGCATACATTGTGGCTGCAGATGTCGGCTTACCTAATAACGGCACTACCAAAGTGATCATTTGTTTACATAATAATTGTAGGCATTTTAGCAGCCAAGCCGAAATGCATTCAGATATCCAGCACAAGAATTATGTTCACTGTGTTCATGGGGCAAATCTTGGAACTTCTTAAAACTATTTCAAAATTCCGCATACTGTGTTGCATTATTGCTTGCCGTAAATAAACAAGCGATTCACTAATCCATAAAATGCAGCAATATAAATTACAGTAAATTCATCAGCCATCGCTGTCTAAACAATTTCAATACTGAGAATCACCCATTCTAGTATACTAATACCTTAAATTCACTTAAACCAACTGTCCATCACTTACTGTGTAGATACCATGTAAATCAATATAGAGGTTTCTTAACACTTAAACAACCCAGACAATATTACCCAAGAGCATGCTGGTATTTATACATAACATTTTCTTTTCTTTTTATGCTACATAAGCCTAATTTCACAGTATTTGCACGCGTGTAGGTGCTCAGAGAATTGGTGCCACAATACATTAATTAACAAGCAAAATCTAGAACTTAAGTCTGGCATAAGAAAAGTCGAAAAAACCAAATAGAAATTCAAAAACCTAACATTCATAACAGTTATTCACATAAATTGACAAGGCAAAACAAAAAAAAGAGCTTCTCATGAACACAGCGCCATAAAATCGGCACATTGATACCACGATGCACCACAAAATAATAAAAAATAAAAAATTAAACTGGAATTAGAAAGAAAAAAAAAAAAAAGAGGTAAATTCAAAGCCAAAAACAGGAAGTGTAGATGAGAAGAAAGCTTACAAGCTGCAGATCAACGATTCGGCAATCTGGAGGGCGAAATCTGAAAGTCACCAGAACAAGTCAGAAGAAGCCTAGACAGATAATTGAATCGAAGAGAAACAAAGCCCGTGTTTCGATTCCATTTCTTCTATAACTATTTTTCTAAAAATTCATTTTCAACGGTTCTCCCATAAAAATAATTTAGGCATTTTTGGTACACATTATTTTTTTCATTCTCATTCTTTTAATAATTTTCAATCACACATTTTTCAATAAAATAATTTTTTCATCACATCAATAACTTTTCTTTCATTTTTAACCACACATTCTCCATCAATCTACTATTCAATAATACATTCATTCAAAAGAATGTGTTCCAAACACACTCTTAAATCCATATATATATATTTTTTTTTTACTTTTTTATTATGTATATCTGAAAAATCACTATGATTGAGCTTATTTTCTCACCAAAAAAAAAAAAAAGGGCTCAAACATGGTCAAAGAAAGGGTAGACATGCCTCCGATTTTGGTTCCAAGAAAATTGAATGAATCGAACCATAAACCAATAGTTTTTGTGATAATAGAACCAATTTTTTTTTAAAGATATGGAACCAAATCGAAATCGAATCATTTGGTTTGATTTGATTTGGTTCTAGTTTCATTTTTTAACTTTTCAGATTTGCATCATATCAAAAAATTAGTATTATATACTTAAATAAAAAATATAAACATCAATCATCAAGAATATAAAAGTCCAAACGAACAAACACAATATAGTTATAATTTGAATACACATCAATTTTCATTATCATACAAAAGATTGTCTAATAAGTAATATAATGATTCACTAAATTAATTGCAACAGTTTTTACGGTACGCCAACACAATAAAAAATGAAATATGCAAAACTTTTACAGATCACTTTTACAGGCATCATTACCCGTTTAATACTCTATGAATGTCTCTTAGATTTTCCTCTATTTGTGAAGAACACAAATAATTTATCGAACAATCAAGGTGAAAAAAGAGTTTAGAGACTTTTCAATGACTGACCATTTCGCTTTTCAATTTTGAAAAAATATTCTCCATTGACGTGATGAAATGCAGCGTTCGATTGCACCGACATTGTGTATATTGAAAATGAGTAAAAGAAATTATTCAAATTAATGGAGAGTACATAATTAATGGGCTGTCTCCAATGAATACAAAATTATGGTCTTCACTAATTAATATATATAAAAAATTAAGTTATATTCTAATTTTGGTTTTGGTTCTCGATTCTAGAATTAGAATCGAACCGAGACCAAAATCAAATGGTTCTTGATTTAAAGAGTCAAAATCATTTTTTTTTTGTAGACCCGAATCGAACTACTCGATTTGGTTTTGTCGATTCTGATTTGGTTTAGTTTGGTTTGGTCTGAACATTTTGTCTACCCCTAGGTAAAGACAAATTTTACTAGAGAGAAGAAAAAACAGTTTAAGGTGTAGAGTACTAGTCTTCTAGTGGGGCGTTGATGGCGATATCCTTTCGTCAACAAATAAATCAAAAGTGAATAAACTCATGACCTTTATTATTTAAAAATTTATTTTTTTCTCAAACTCATTTTTAATTATATATTTTTACGATAAAATAATTTACACGTAAATTTAAGTTTTTTCTTATTTTTTAACAGCATATTCTTCAAACAATCACAAATTCAAAATTTATTTTTTTATGAAAGGGGCTCAAACAAGGGCTAAATTTATTAGTATTTATATTCATCATCATATTCTCTACGGTCATGCTTGTGATAATGTGATTATGCACAATGAGATCAATTGTCTTTGCAATCAAATGCTTAGGGCTTGGTGTTTTTTATTTCATCGGTTTTGATCTATTTTGGGTGGCACCATTTATAAGAGGTTGAAAAAAAAAAAGAAGATATTTATTAGTTTTTTTGGAATTGGTTTTGAATGATTTAAAAAAACCCAAAATTAGTATCGTATAATTTTGACTGATGCTTTTAACCCACCAAATCAACGGATTTGACCGTTTCTCACAATCTCTTCTAATTTTACCATCTATAAAATAATTATTTCTAATCAATATCTTTTCTTCAAAACTAACTTATAAATAAAAAAATATTAATTAAAAAATATTTATAAGCAAAAAAAAAAAATCATTATAATTAAAAACACTAAAATATTACTCAGAAGATAAGAATAATTTCAATACAATTAAAAAACTACTTATAACAAAAAATCACTTTTAAGTAAAAAAAATTGTTTATAAAACAAGAATACTATTAACAAAATAAAAACTATAAAATATATAAAGTTACTTCTAAGTAAAAAATTCACTTAAAATTGTTTAAAAATAAAAAAATAACTTATAATTGTAAAATTTGCTTATAAGTAAAAAATGTTAACTTAAGATTTTAAGTAAATATTTAACTTTATTTAATTTTAAGTTAAATATTAACTTATATGTAAAAAAATTATCAATAAGTAAAATATCACTAATGAGTAAAAAAATCATACAAGAAAATATCAACTGAAAATTTTACTAAAGACATATATATAATTTTATTCTTTTAAAAATCTTTCAGAATTGATGAATAATAAACTCTACAGTTGGACAATTTTAAAAATGTTAGAAAAATCACTTAAAATCACCTTGCTCATAAATGTTCAAAATTAATATTGTAAAAAAGGCTTATAACTTCTACTCTGAAACTCTCAAGCAGGCCTTAAATAGCAAGGAAAAAAAATGTATTTTATGTAATGCTATTGTGGTCCAAAATCTTGTCACGACACCACTCCCTTTTGGACCCTCACCTTCTTATCTCGGGGTGATGCTGATCTTGAGAGAGCACTTTTATGATCCATGATTTATGTTTCATCTTTCATATCTTTTTCATTTGTTTTGATGCATGTATATATAGAATACAGGATTTTCAATCCTAGCAGGAAAGGGATGAAAACGGATGCAGCATAAAAAGAAACCCATTTTGTCATTTAGACAAACAAAACGACTAATCCTCAAGAAGAAGCATCCTAACAACAAAATCTTGACAAGAGATAGTTTAATTTAATAGGTAGACTAGAGATAGAAATGCTTAAATTTAAGAACACAACATCAATTCTCGTAAATTCGAATAATATAATATTTTATAATCTATCAGATTGATGTATACTAAGAACTTAACAAATATACAAGATAATGTAGTGCTTTCTTCAAGTTTTGAAGATTGACGATGAGCTTGTTTTGTTGGAGAATATATGTCTCCTTCTTGTATATAATATCGTTAATAGTTAATCATTTTTGTATAAGTTCAAATGTCATATAAGAACATGGGCGGAGATACAGCCCACCCCAACCCAAGCCAAATTCTACTAGAAAGAAAAAAAAAAATTTATAGTACTTTTTTTTTTCTATTCAACCCAGTAACCCACTGTCTAACTCATTAGCCCCCCGTCTCATTGAATCCTGGCTCCGCCCATGTATAAGAATTAAGATTATTGAAAATTTAAATAAAACTAATTCGACCAATGTGGTGTATATGCAAAAAATAGAACTTATTTTGAACAATGTGGTAGCAATGTCCTTTACATTTAACTATTTTATTATCCAAAAACTAAATTAACCAACTAGAACTTCACTCTTTCAATCCCTTGCAGAGTGCACTCTAACTAAAGGTATGTTTGTCCGGGTGCATATTTGATGAGTGGTTAAATTAAAATTTAAGTGATTGTAATTATAGGTCTTAATAAATATGTGAATAATATGTAATTGTTATAGATCCTATGAAAATGTGGATAAAAAAATATTTTCAACCATAAATGATTAAAATATTACAAAAATACTTATAAGTAAAAAAAAATCTCATAAGATAAAAAATCACTTTTATGTAAAAAAAAGTCGCTTCTAAGTGAAAATATATTACAAATAAATTCAAAGTTCACTAATAAGAAAAAAAACTCACTTATAAGTATTGTACTCTAAAAATCCTTATTTATAAGTAAAAATCCACTTATAAGTTAGAATGTTATTTAAAATTTTCAATTTTAAACTACTTACAAATGTACCTATAAATAAAAATTTCATTTATGAGTAAAAAAATTCATGTAAGTTATTGATAAAAAAATTACTTAATAAGTTGAAAAAAAAATAATATCATATATATATTTTTTATTTTTTCATTACTCGTATAATTTTCGAATACGGTGTAACACCAAATGTCGCTAATACTCTTAATAAAATCTCCCTAACATTATCCCTCTTAATCTTTTCCGTCTTAATCTCATCCTCCCTAATCCAGACCAATACGATGTACTAAATGTGATCTATAAGTAAAAATTAATCAATACAAATCAATTGCAAAATAAATTCAATAATTATTTCTTTTTAATTAATTTGACATAACACAAACTTTGTCAATTCCATCAAAGTGGTCCAATTGTTTTGCTCCGCCAAAATTTTAACATCATGGTAAAACAAGATTTTCAAAGGACCACTCGACCATATACAATGTGAACAATAGATTTTTTTTTTTCCACAAAGCAACAAAATAGCATTAATAGTCGAATATATTTCTTGGGACATGATTTGCCAATTCGAATTCTCTAGAACAATTCGTATTATTTTATTAAATTAATTTGTACATGCTAGTGAATTATGTCGACCAATATAAATATGTAATTTCTATTCTTTTTTTTTTACTATATAATCCACTTTACATGTCAAGAAGTAGATTTCAATTATTGAGCAATTATCATTTACGAATAGGAGTGTGCAAATTATTCATCTAACCGATCAAAACCATCCAACCAAATTGACTCGGGTCGATTTGGAGGGATATTGGTTAGATATTTTGATTGGCTTAAACCAACTCAAAAACCTCAATTTGAGGGGTTGGATTTAACTGTGATATCATCATTATTTGGCTATCTTGACTATTTTTTATTCATAATTCAATTGTGTTAACTATCCTGTTAGAATTATCACCTAGACATTACTCTTTCAACAATTCCCTCTACCTCAGATGGTGAATCTCACGGAATCATAGTTATCAGACCCAACCCGTTCATCAACTCGGAAAAATCATTGGGTCATCGGGTCATGGTTCAACCGGTGGGTCATTGCTAGGTTATAATTTTAATTAAAAAAATATTTTTTTTAAAAAAGGAGAACATTTTTTCTAAATATAAAATATATTTGTTAGTTCACAATTGAAACACACCGCCCAATTTTAATAACTATGCACGGAATCCTGAGAATCTAGGGCAGTGTATATTGCGACCTTTAGGATTCTCTATGTGATTACCCCTGATATGCTTATTTGGTGTGCTTCCTATTTGTTAATATGTCTATACATTATTTTGATTTGAGTGTCTTTAATTGAAAATGCGATTTTTCAATTTGACAATAGAAGATAATGATATTTTAGTACAACAAAAAATGTCAAAAGTCATTGACAACTCTTTTTCTAATACTGTGAATGAGGAAAGGAAAAAGGCAAACGATGAACTCGCATACACTTCTATCATCTTGCATTTATCCGATTTTGTGTTTGTTATAATCTGATTTTGTCTTGCGAAAAGTTTGTAAATATAATTTCATCGAAAAACTTTGAAAACAGTTAAAAGAACTTTATTTAACACAAGCCATCCCAAATAAAATTTCTTATTTGAAAGTTTCTTTAGCTTTAAAGTGGATCCATGTAAAGATTTAGATAACAATCTTAACATTTTTAATAAACTTGCTGAAGATATTACAACTACAGTGAAAAAGTGTCTTAAGAATATAAATTCAATTTGATAATGTGACTGTATATTCTAATAGTCAATTTGTCATTCATTTATGTAAAGACCCTATTTTTCATGAACATACTAAATATAAAGATGTTTGATTGCATTTTATTAGAAATGTTGTATCTTAAGATGCAATTAAAGCCGAAAAAGTACATTCAGACTATGGCCCCGCAGATAGGGCACACACATGCTCACTTTAGTAAAGTTTATAAGTTGTTTGACACTTCTAAACATTGGTACATATATGTAAAGTTCTAGTTTTGTTTGGAACTTAATTTGATAACTACTAAGCTTGTGTTTTGTCCTTTGCAAGTTTGTTCGGAATCAATGTAGTGGTTTGTTGGGAAATTAGGTCCCCAAACAAAGCTTTAGGAGCTATGATGCTAAATAGGTCGGAATTACACTTCATAGGCTTTATTAAAGTTGAGGAATGAAGATTGAATTAAATAGTCCATCGTCACGTGGCCCAATTGTAAAGAATAGAATAGAGACCAATAAATTAAGGGATAATTAAGCTCAATATCCTCCAAAATTAATCAATTAGAATAATACCTTGAAACTAATTAAAACATTTACTCCCCGTAATTAATACTCTCAAATCCTCCCTACTTAATCACCTGAAAATCCTAAATCATCTTCCCTAAAAATCGATAAAGGAATTCAGAACTCATTCATTCCTCCCAAATTGAAAACCCTCCAAACCTCCCCATTACCATCTCCAATTTCCTCCCTTCACAACAGTGAGACGACATCGCCGGACTCATCTCCGCCTCCGATCGGCGCCAAAATCGATGAAGAACAAAAGTCGTTACTGTATCTAAACATTTTCATCGACATCGAAAACTTTCGAATCCTACTTTGAACTTCCACTGCCACAAAACCACCACCACAATCATGTCCTTCTCCGGTGACACCGAACTTGCGAACCATGTGAGTGGAAATTATTTCATTCCAACTGGTGATCGAGTTAACATCTCAACTTTGGTCATATGTAAATGGAGATTAATTCATCTTAGCTGGTGTTTGTCATATGTAAGTAGGGATTAAATTCTTCCCAGTTGCTGTTTGTATTTTATTCATTATTTGAGCAATTCATATTTCACATAATTAGTGCTTCAATTTGACATTCGATTGATTGTTTGTAGAATGACAGGAAAGAATTCTAGAAATATGAATTACTCAAGTTGAAGATGTATCCCGCATGTTCCAATCTCAAGTTCGTCTAACTGATGAAGAAGAGCTCCAGATTTTTGTCAACGTGACCATCCGAATAGGAAAAGGTACAGCGGAAGAGATGTAAAAGGGAAGGGGCAGGCTTGAGTAGTAGTTATTGCTTGAAGGGATTATTCAATTAATGTTTGGTAAATAAGATTGCATTTGCATTTGCATTTGCAGGTTTTGCTTGAAGGGATTATTCAATTAATGTCTGGTTTTCACTATTTTACACTATTGCACCGAGACGCGTCTGGTAAAAATTTTTAAACTCTATATTGGTTGTTATTTTTTTCGAATTCATTAGATAACTGAACCTTCTTAGTTGAAACCTACTTTAATCTTCATTTGTCTAGAGTTTCATGTGAGAACCCTAGAAAATGAGGGGACAAGGTTTAACGGTTTCTTTAAGATTATCCTCCAGTTCTGTTATTCGAAATATTAGACACTGTGATTTGTTACTCGAGACAACTTGCTTACTCTGTTCACGTAGTGGTGGCAAAAAATCTTGCCGACTCTGACGGCTCGGGCTCGGCCCGAAAAAGCCCGAGCTAGGCCCGGCTCGAGCTCGATCGAACCGAGCCCCATTTTGGCTAGGGCACACGGGCCGGCCCGTGATTCATTAAAAAAATTAAAAATAATAATTTTTTCAAAACTAAAATAGCTGAAAAAAATAAAAAATCGAGCAGCCTCGGGCTGAGCCTTATTTTTTTTTGGTCGGGCTTAGCTCGGGCCCGAAAAAACTCGAGCCATCCCGAGCTTTTTTTTTCGGCTCGATTCATTGACATAGCTATGTTCACGTGCATAAGTGCGTCTGTATGAATATTATTTGTACTTTAACACTTGGTGTGTGCTCTGTTGTGAATATATACTTTCTCTATACTTGTTACTTCTATTTGCATCACTTTGTAAAAATTATGGCAAGTACAAAAATTGATATTGAAATTTGGAATGTTAAAGGAGACTTCAATCTCTGGAATAAAAAAGTGAAGGCATTGCTAATGCAGCAAAAATGTGTTATAGCCTTAGATGAGTCTTGGGGGGTTGTAGAAACCACTCAAACCAAAAGGACTAAACAAGCTGAAAGTGCTTGGAGTACCATATTCCTACATTTATCTGACAATGTGATTAGAGAAGTATGTGACACTACACTGCATAAAAAAATCTGGACTAAACTTGAATCTTTATATAAAACCAAAACTCTTCCCAATAAATTTTACTTGTGGAAACGGTTTTTCAATTTTAAATTTGACTCCGATTGTGATTTTGAAACAAACCTCGATCTCACACAAAATGATGAGACTATATCTGATAATCAAAAATCTAGCCTTATTATCATCCCTACCTGATAAGTACAAGGAACTGAAAAATGTTCTTGAATATGGAAGAACCTCTATTGCAATTGATTATATTGTGTCTTCTTTAAGGAATAAAGAACTTGAGTTTAAAAGTGAATAAAAAAACCTCTATAATTGGAGTAGGTTATAACATAAAATGTCATTATTCTTTCAAGAAGAACAATAATCAATTCTCAAATAAAAATTTGGAAAACCAAAAGAATATTCTGGAAATTTCTCAAAGAGCAAATGTAAATTCAATAAGTTTGATAGTAAGGTCAACGGAAAAATATGTTATTTTTGTGATAAAATGGGTCATTATATAAAAGATTGTATCAAGAGAATGAATGAACTTAAAAACTATAATAAAGTTGAGAGTGGAGCTCTAATAGCTTATGAAGAAGCTGCAGTCACAAATGTGTCAACACAAGAATAACTAACCAAGAGGGGAGAGGAGGGTAAATTGGTTTTTAAATCTTTTTCGAATAATCACGTAAGTTAAAAAATAAGTTGATAACTTAATAATCGTAAGCAAGTTCAAGCAAGTAGATAAATCAAATAATAAGTGGAAATATAAAAGTGATAAGTAAAATGGATAGAGAGTGCAAATGATATGTTATGGAGGTTCGATCCAATGTAATTATCTACATCCCCCATTACCAAACTCTCAGGCACGAGCAAGACATTTTCACTATGTTGATTGACTTATAGTGCAATCCAACCCTTTACAACGCTTCCGATGATTTACAAATAAGGAGCACCGATCCTTATACAATGTTGAGCTTTACGGGGACCTCAACCGACCCACACTATTGAGCTTTACGGGATCTCAATATGACACACACGGTGACTTACAACAAGGAGCACCGATCATTATACAATGTTGATCTTTAAGGGATTTCAACACGACTCACACTTAATCAAAGTGATTTTACAATGAAATTCCCCCCTCGATAAATAATATAAACAAATTAAGTACAAAGAGAAGATAACACTTCAATGGATAGTAACAAATGATAGGCCAAGTGTTTGATGAATATGATAATTAGAAATTAGATTTACCCGATCAAAGTATTTCAATGAGAAGATATATAAAAGTTTATACAATGTAAGTGCAAAAATCTTCTCAAAATATTTCTCTTTTAATAAATAATAGTAATAAATTTAGCGCTTAGAGAGAAATGATAAATTTTTATTGATATGATTATTTTCCAAATTTGATTCAATCAATCAAAGGGTTTGAATGAGAAGATGAGGAATAAATGAATCCAATGTAAGTTCAAAGAATCTTCTCAAGTTATATCTCTCTTTCAATGAATGATTGTAATGAATCAAGTATTAAAAGATAAAAGAGAAACTTTGATGAATATGACGACTTTGCAAATATGATTCAATCAATCAAAGTTTTCAACATGAATAAGTAGAAAGATTTATACAATGTAAGTGCCAAGATCTTCTTCAAAAATATATTTCTCTTTTAAGATTGATATAAATAAGTTAAGCACAAAGAGAAATAAAAAACTTTGATGAAAGAAATAATTCAAGAAATTTGATTCAACAATCAAAATTTTTGTTATAAAGAAATAGATGAAATGAATATAAAGATGTAGGCTCAAAGAAGATTTTTCACTAGAAAGCTCTCTTGAAGTTGTTGTTGATGAATGAAAAATAATTGGTATTTATAGGAATCAAAAAGGTAAAGTTCTGCCCAACAGGACAATCCCTACCAGATGTCTGGTACCTACCGAACGACCAATATAGCCGTTGGGTGTCAGAAGTCAGAACGGTCCGAAAATTTGACCGTTGTCATACCGAACGTCCGATTGACCGTTGACCTTTTTTTTTTTTTTTTT